AGCCGCTAGGACTAAAAACGAACAAGAATCCAGTTCTAATCCACTCACTAACAGCATATAAACCTGCGCATTTTTATTAAAAGCCTTTTTCGACCATTTCGACCCTTTTTTCTTCGAAATATGGTGGAGCAAGAAAAGCCCACGTAACCCAAGTAAGAAGAATCAAGAAAGCTTCGAGAAGGAATATCAACAAAAAGAAAGCGAGCTACTGGTAGAATAACGTGAAAACTTTTAAACACAGAGTTATAAGACTTCAGGTTCGTTCATGAGCGAAAAGCGAGAATGGTCGAACGAAGCTTGGGGATATGACAATAACTTAAGAGAAAATGGAACTCAATAACATCAATTTCATGAATACGACAATTTGAGAAAAAGATCGGTTCCATTGGATTTGCAAGTTACTCAGAAGTTTGTTATTACAGTGGAGATGACTTGGAAAAGGGGTTGTATACACCCATTTCTCCTTCCTATAAAATGAGTTTATAGAGCCGAATCCGCTAATAATCAAATTCGTACAAATAAAACGCATGGACGCACGGTAGAACCAGTGCCAGTTAGAACATGGAGAAGTTCTTTCCTTAATTGCATTTGCATGCCGGTACATCCCCGACTAGCTCCAGCAGGCATAATGAAAGAAGTAGGCTTTTTCGATGGTTTTTTTTTGTACTATGTATATACGGATATTTTAATTTTCGCTTTACTTTCAAATATTTTGATAAATTGTCAGTGTTTATAAAGGATTTATCTTTGTATAGGAACCTTGCTGTACCTTTGCTTGGTGAATTGATTTTCTTATAATTTCCGCTGTAACGATTTCTCGTAAGGGGTTTGCATTCATAGGAAAAATAGAATTGAAGAACGTTGATTTCTTGCTAACTTGAGTCATCATTTGGTTGCGTTTCTTATTGCGTCGTTTAGTGCATCTCTATAAGTATCTATTTCAGTATCTCTTTGAGTATATTGAGTACCTCTTAGAGCGTGTCTTTAAGTAGAATATTTCCATACATCTGATGAAAATGTATACTACCTTTGACAATCATTTTCGGTTATAGAACTAATCAGAACTTTGGGACTGACCCAGATTCAACAAATTCCGTTGAGCTTGACGAACTAGAAGCTAGCGCAGAGGCTCCAACAAGTGCGCCTAACAGTATTGAACTGCCAAGTTCTCCTCTTGGGGAAGCCCTACCAAAGCAAATCATTCAAAAAAGTCTATTGGCCATCCTGCATGGGATCAAGAAAGAGATGCAAACTTTTGGAGACACAGGTTCTCCGACTTTGAATGATCGTAAAATGTAATGTTTCTATGCTATGCCATTTTATTGAATTCATCCCCAGGTTGACCAGGTCATTGTTGGCTTTGATACTGTTCAGAACATTTAGAAAAGGTTGCTTTTTTGTCTTTAAGATTACTATTACCGTACGCCGTAATATTAAGATTGCTGAATATAAGCCATTTGTCATGATAACAGGTTATGAGAACGTTTATCGAGCGGAAATAGAAAGTACAGTTACAGGATTGTATGTTTCAATTGGACAACTTGATACTACGTAGAAGAATAGTAATAACGACCAGGGATTTGGCTAGCCAAATGAAATATCTGAAAGTCAATTTTATTTAGCCTGATCAGTTGAGTCATTGCAATCTGAAGATTCTGACTATAGACACAAGAGTATATATAGTTTTGCTAATCAAATTGAGTAATAAATTTCATCAATAGATAATCAACTGTATACGTGCCTTTATTTTCGAATCACTCGCTATCTTAATTTCTGTATTTCGTTTTAGATCGTTTGTTTACCATTTGTAATATATATTATTCTTTAGTCCTATTATGACATTTGTTAATATTCGGATATATGTTCTTATGGTAGTGTATTATAATACTATAATATGAACAAAACACCTACCGTGACATAACATATGTAATCAAACAATAATTTCGAAATAACGGGTGCTCGATTGGAATGGAAACTATACCAAAGAACAATGATACATTTACTACATGAACTAAAAATATATATATACATATTAGACAGCAATTTTGCAGTGGAGATCTGCCATCATCAGACTAAAAGTCTTGACTGAGACTAGCTAAATTCTTTCCTATTTAGGATAATTGATTCGGTCAATCAAACCAAATCGTTGGGACGCTATTGACTACTGTTAGCGTAGTATCCGAATATTCAAGGAAGTTTGATTAAAATTATTTTCAATAAGCTGTTAAAAGACAACAACGACAAAATCGTGCTTTCGATGACTCCCCTTATTTTGCGGGTATATATATGAGACTATTGTTTTTGTTTTTAAGCGCTCTCTGCAATTCCCACAGCATAGCAATTGATATGCGTTAGATGCTTAAGAATTGGTGATAAAGAATGGTTTAGATAAAAAAAGCTCATTTCCATTTTTGTCTGCATGTTTCATGCCCTTTCTTAGCCATGCGGCTCACATGTGTATAGGCCTTAGATAATTACATGTGGTCTTTTCGTTTTTCATTAACCAGAACCAACACCGTTATCCGCTTAGACATATATTCAATTTGACCTATAGTAAATGGACGTAGTTGAACATTTTGGTTATTAGGGTAAAAAGCCAAAAATAACAAACGTTTGATTAAGGGATAATGTCGATTCGGAAACGGAAACTGAGGAAGCCAAAAAAATGCTGTACCAAGAAGTGTAAGGAAGACCAGCAGACAATGGCCACTTCAATTTTTTTTTTCAGAGATACTACAAAAAGGACTACGATAATAATAATAATATTAACAATATTAACAAAAGTAACAGGTAGCTATGATAGAAGGTAAAAAAGAGCCAAGCAGTTAAATTCCTTTTCGATTATATCTGAGAAGATGGAAGGAAATGCTAGTCATTGAATACCAAATCTACCAGAAAACACTTCGCATAATAGACAGGAGGAAATTGTTGCCGTGATCATCCCATGGCTGAAA